TGGGAGGCCGAGGCGGGCGGATTGTTTGAGCTCAGCAGTTCGAAACCAGCCTGAGCAAGAGCGAGACCCAGTCTCTACTAAAAATAGAAAACAAATTAATCAGACAACTAAAAATATATAGAAAAAATTAGCCGGGCATGGTGGCGCATGCCTGTAGTCCCAGCTACTCGGGAGGCTGAGGCAGGAGGATCGCTTGAGCCCAGGAGTTTGAGGTTGCTGTGAGCTAAGCTGACACCACGGCACTTTAGCCCGGGCAACACAGTGAGACTCTGTCTCAAAAAAAAAAAAATAAAAGATACCAGTCATTGGGCCTAGGGCCAACTAATTCATTTTGATTTTATCTTAACTAATTACCTTTGCAAAGACCCTATTTCTAAATCATACCACCTGAGGTTCCAGGTGGACATGAAGTTTTGGGGAGATTCTATTTGACCCAGTACAGGAAGCATTGTTCATTTCTTCTGCTGTTAGAGGTAAGTGTGCTTGGGATCACACAGCTTTGTAGTTAAACTATTTAAAGAACTTCATAAGTTTCTCCCTCCCTTTAAATTAGAAGCAGATCAGTCAAGAGACTTTTTTTTAAAGCCTTCATCCACAGGACACGTTTGATTTGCTGATCATTTCAGAAGGCAGCTGCTTCTCTATCTCTGTCCCACACTGGCTGCTTTCAGCTGAGGCAATCCAGGGGTTCCTGCCATCCAAGTTTCTGGTGTTTTTTCTGCAAGTAGTTCAGACCTCTGAGGAGACATACCTCTCTGAATTCTGAGTCTCGGTCCTGAAGACTTTTTAATAAATGGGTCTATTTGGGAAATTATAGATTCTCCTCTTAATGGAGTAGAACTTCCTTTTAATGGATTGCTGGGAAGTACTCAGGAGCATTTTTAAGCACTTAATGTGTGCAGTTCTTTACATAGTACTTGGGTTGGAGAAAAAGAAATGGAAGACATCTAGAGATGGAAGCATCTACAAATGCAGGCAACATAAATGGAGGGAATACACACACACACACACACACACACACACACACACACACACACACACACAATACCTCTAAGGAGGGGCCCAAAGACAGAATGTGGTTAAATGCCATAAGGGAGGCAGGAACTATATGCTTTAGACATTCAAAGGAAAGAGATCCCTTCCAGCTGGGGGCTGGAGCAGGTGCAGGTTTCATGAAGGAGGCTGCATCTTGACAAATAAATAGGATTGTGATAGGTGAGACAGGTGAAGGTAGAAGGGAGGCTGTTCCAGGGTAGAAAAGGAAATGCCTGGGGATAGAAATGTTCAGGAAACAGTATCTCAGATTAACTGGAGTTTAGAGAAGATGCTATAGTGAACAAGATGGTGAAAGCAGAGTGGAGTAAGAGGGTGGGAAGTGAATGCTGGGCCAAAGAGTTTGGATTTAGTCTGGGGGATGTCAAGGAATTGTTGACTTTTCTTAAAAGGAGGATGGCAGATGAGCATCGTATGTCAAGGGAGAGCAGTCTGACAGTTGCTTAGCATGGTATGGGGTGGGGAAACATTGGCACACAGAAGCTAATTAAGAAGCTGGAGATGAGAGGTCTTAGGATCTGACTTTAGGATGTAACAGTGATAACAGGAAGGCAGGGGCACAATTGAGAAGTATGTTGTAGGTAGAAGGAACTTGTTTCATGAGTGGATATCTTGAAAAATGTTACAGCAACAGAAGAGTTGCAACAATATTCATACACTAGAAGTTGGAGCAGGTTTGGGACATGGTGATCTCAAGAGACTCATAGAAGAGCTACATAGAAATGTCTTTTTAGATTATTGGAGAAGCTGTAGCTGGTTTACAAATATTCCCCATCTCAGTGGATTGTATTAATAACATCATCCCTCCAGTTACTCAACCCAGAGAGAAACCTTTGTTTTTCTCATATCAGTCAATAATCCTGTCGACATGACCATCTGCAGTTTTACCAGAATTCAAATACTTCTTACCACCTCCTGTCTACCATCTTGGTCCAAGTCACCATCACCTCTCACCTGGTTGTTCTGCCTCTACCGTTGCCTCCTGCAGTCTGTACTCAACATAGCAGCCAGAGTGATCTCGTTAAAATGTCAGATCTTATCTTCCTCTGGTTAAAACCCTCCAGTGGTTTCCCATCTCACTTAGTGGAAGCAAAGCTCTTATAGCAGCGTACAGGACTGTCCTCTCCTCCCCTTGCGATGTCTCTGCCCTCATTTCTGACTATTCTCCCCCTTGCTCATTCCGCTCCAGTCACACTTGCCTCCTTGAATGCCCAGGGCCTTTGCACTTGCTGTTTCCTCTGTGTGGAAGGCTCTTTCCCAAGATACTCTTCTCTCCTTCAAGTCTTTGCTTACGTGTTATTTTCTTAGTGAGTCCTTCTTTGGCCATGGTATTTAAAATTGCAGCCCTTCTTCCTATTCCCTGTGGGGGCACTCTAATCCACAGTGCTTGCTTTTTTTCTCTATAGAACTTTTATCACCTTGTGATAATATATAATTTACATGGTTTATTGTCTGTCTCCTCTACTAAAATGCAAGATCTTAGATGGCAGGATTTTTGTCCATTTTGTTCACTGATATATCTCAGAGCTTGGAACTGTACCTGGCATGTTGTTGGTGCTCAGTAAAATGTACTGAATGAGTGCAGTTTCATGTGACTCATAGAGATGAGAAGAGTTACCTGAGAAGGGTCACCTTCAGCTTCATGGTGAAGGTGATATTAAACAGGGCCTGAGAGCAGCAGGATTTACATTCTTGAATATGTTGGGCAGGCTGTTAAATCTCTGGCAATGGGTTAAATAAAAGGCACATTCTCTAGAACATTTAAGCCTTAGCATGTTGTGGGAGAAAATGAACAGAGTGCATCCACAGACAGTCAAGAGGCCCTGTGTAGGGGAGAAGATCAGCATGAGGCTGGGGAGACAGGTAGAGGCTCGGTCGTGGAAATGTAGAAGAAACCCTCATTTTAATACTTGCCTAAAATATCCAGTCCTAGGATGGGCTGGCCTGGCAGTCCCTAGGCATCTGTTGTATACAGCCTTCAGCCCCACTGGGTGAGGGGCACTCCCTGTGCTCTGGTAATTTGCCAGGATAATAAACTCTAGTACCATGTGAAGAATCTATTCCTCCACAGCCTAATGTTTTAAGCAACCATCAATAATCCTTTGAGTAAGTTCTTAACCTGAGGCTCCATTTCTTTATCTGTAGTGTGGTGATAATAATGCCTCTCTTTTGGAATTACTGTGCTTAAAAGTATTATATAAGATAGTTCACATGAAAATGCTGTCGTGGTCTGCCCAGATTTCTCCCTTCTTCTGAGAACACCATCCCCTTTCCTCAAGAAAATTCTCCTTACTCTGCTTCAGATTTGTGGTCCAAACTGCTGGCTTCTCCAGCCTGAGCAAGAACGAGACCCCGTCTCTACTAAAAATAGAAAGAAATTAATCGGACAACTAAAAATATATAGAAAACATTAGCCGGGCATGGTGGCGCATGCCTGTAGTCCCAGCTACTCGGGAGGCTGAGGCAGTAGGATTGCTTGAGCCCAGGAGTTTGAGGTTGCTG